ACTGAGCAAACTCCATCTGCTGAGGAGGGCCATGATATGTGGCTGAAAGCTCTATAAGAAATCTATAGGGCCTTTTTCACACCTGTGGGCCAAATATGCAGCCACAACCACAGATCCAGCTCAAGGGTGTAGCCAGTGTGGTGAAATAGGAAATAGGAACAGAAAACAACTTGGTCACAACACCATTAGAGCTGCTCATTTTTGAGCTCTCATTTGACGGAAGGTGTCACATCCAGCAACAGATCAGTCCCATCAAACGAGAGGTAGGAAAATGTTTTGCTTTACAGTGCTATTATGCTCTTATAAAAGGAGTTCCTACTATTTTGTCATATATATGAAGCCTGGCCAGGCTTCATATATATGACAAAATAAAAAATATAATTTACTTGTATGATTTTTTCTGTATCATATTTGATAACTTATGATACTAATCCTGTATTCCTTTTCTAGGATCCAGTTTAACAGCAATGAATGACTCTTATGAGATCTCTAATGACACCATTTATGATGTGGACTATGAAGATGAAGTCTGTGATAAAGGCAATGTGGTCAAATTTGGATCCATTGCCGTTCCCGTTTTCTTCTCTTTTGTGATCATACTGAGCCTCACGGGAAACATCCTCGTCCTTGTAATCCTGGCTTTGTACGAAAACCTCAAGTCTCTCACCAACATTTTCATCCTAAACCTGGCCATCTCTGACCTCGTCTTCACCACCGGTCTTCCATTCTGGGCAATTTACCACATCTGGGGATGGTTGTTTTCAGAGATCCTCTGCAAAATTGTGACTTTCGTCTTCTTCACTGGGTTTTACAGCAGCATCCTCTTCCTGACCATCATGACCATCTACAGGTATCTGGCCGTGGTCCACCCTCTCTCTGATCTGAGCACACAGAAACGCAGCACCGGGGGTTTTGTGTCTATCTTATTGTGGATCATCAGCATTGGAGCAGCTATGCCCTCCCTTCTCTACAGCTCTCTCGTCTCAATCCACCACAAGGATAAACACTCCCTGGGCTGTGAATACCCAGCTACCCTGTGGAAAAACATTGGTATCTCCCAACAGAATATTTTCTTCTTGGTTGCTTTTGCAGTGATGGCTTTCTGCTACATTCAAATACTGTGTAGAATCTCAAAATCAAGATCCCACACAAAGAACAGAGCAGTTAAGTTAGTCTTCTCTATCGTGGCCGTGTTCTTCTTCGGCTGGGTGCCGTACAACGTGGTCATCTTTCTGAAGATCTTGGCTGACAATGTGGTTGCACCATTTCATACCTGTGAAGCAAGTATTCAGCTTGACTATGCATTCTATGTGTGCCGGCTCATTGCTTTCTCCCACTGCTGCTTGAACCCTGTTTTTTATGCATTTGTTGGTGTGAAGTTTAGGAGTCATTTGAAGTCAATGCTGCATCGAATGTTCAACCGCGCAAGTCCAGCGGAAGAACAGCAGACGAGAATGCAAGCCTTCTCACGTGGATCAATGTACTAGTCCCTGTTTAAGTGTATAATTTCCATCCATTTAAGACTGCACTACTGAGTTGGGGAAAAAAGACCAGTGTGCATTTGGTAAAATACATATGATCTCAGATGCGTGTGTCTGTGTTAAACCTTTGTCATAATATACAGCATGTATGGGATGAGACTAGAAATGTTACATACAGTAATTGAATGGCACTTTAAAATGAGGCCATGTAAAATGTTATCCACTGTACAGCACTTTGGTCAGTTTATACTGTGTTTAAATGTGCTTTATAAATTAAATTTACTTACTTACCTACTTACTAAAAATATTTGTAATTCAGTCACAGTGGAAGGTTAGCCATTATAACAAATATGTTCACAGAGCAAAATGATTTTATTATTTATTTAAAATTATACTTACTCTCACTTTTGTCAGGCTTAGTTTTCACTTACTGTAATTATGATTTATTCTGTTTATTTCATACAATGTGTCATTGCATACAACGGCTAAAAAGTGTTTCCAAGAAATTCTCAATTTACAGTTAACAGGTAGATTAGTGTAAATAGAATGTGATGTATAATAATGTCAAACATTTTAAATAAAAACTACAATGACTTTTTTAAACTGACCGACTGTTTTTTTTTATTATGAGCATATGAGTAAAAGTGCATCTCTACCATTAACAGCAAATTTGTATTTTCAATCTGCATTAATTTGTAAGTATCTAAGAGAAATAAAAGACACATTTTCACAAGATATCTCTATAGACAAGAGCAATGTGTAAAACCTGACTGATGAAACATTTTACATATGACATCAATTTAAACATGAAAAACAACAAATAAATAATTAAAAGTCATAAGAAATGACAAAAAGTCATGTAATATGTAATGCAATCTTTGTAGAACTAAGTCCTGCTCATCTGTTTTTTACGCCATGCAGCCTCTGCAGGTGGTATAGCACAAACCATTGCTGACTCACTTCAATCTGGAAAGTCCCTTAGAACAGAGGAACCCCAGTGATCAGAGCGATCATTATTATGCTTACATCTGATTAATTATTAACAATGTTAGCACTAAAAAAATTGTCAGAATGGCCAAAAATAATCATACGGATATAATGCTGTGAACAGTTAAACAAATTGCAATAACATTACATTTTGCCAAATGTTACACTTCATTTAATTATTATTACTAATGCATAATGTGAAAGCTGGATTTTAATGTTGTAGTTAGTTGAGGTGGAGCTTATTTTTTAACTATTTTGTATAATAATCATTTCAATAATAGATTATTATTTCCTTCATTAATCCACTGATTGTTTAGTTTGTAAAAATCCTGAAAACAGTGAGAAATGCTGTCACAATTACCCAGAGCTCAAACTGACACATTCACGCTGCTTGTTCTGTCCAACCAATAGCCCAAACCTCAACATTTTTACAATAAAAACATTTAAAAAGCAAGCACATTTGTGTAGCTGGAACCATTAAATGTTTTGCATGAAAAATGACTTAAACGATTATCAAAATAGTTCCTAGTCGACGAACAATTTCAGCTGTACTTGTATTCACTGTTGGGCAATCTATAACTTCTTATTTTATGAGTTCTTTGTATGTTTTATGTGCAAAATCCTAATTCGTAAAGCTATCAGATAGTTATAGTGGAGTAAAAAGTACAATATTTCCCTCTGAAATATAAAGTTGAAGAGAAAATTACAGGAAGTATAGTACCTCAAATTTGTAAATTTGTACTCAAAATTGACCTGTTTTGACATTTGACAGCAGTAAAAATACCCTGTCATTATTTTAACCTGAAATTTCATGACTTTTCCTAAAGTGACCCAAAATACACAAAAATGAAAATATTTTAAAATGTTGTTTGTACATTGATGCTGTTCTAGTGTGATGGATTTTAGACTCAAATCAAGGAAAGTGGTTGTTCTAGGGAATCTTGAAACGGTCTATGTCTGTGTGTATTTTTATGGGACAGTGGTGACAGAGTTGGGGGGGGGGGCTTGACACTGT